GATTTGAAGCCCGGGATTGGACCGGTTGTCGCCATTGCCACTATTAGTTGTAACCACTTTCTCGAGAGTGTAACGCTGTGGGGGCCCCATGTTTACAGTGTTTTGTGATGTTGCTTGATAGTTTATGTTTGTTTATACTCATAACCTTTTCTTCTTGATTATTCTTCAATATCTTTTGTATTACTTGTTTTAGTTGCATTGTTTTTTGTTTCGTATTCAATTTGCTTCTGTAAAGTTTATATAGAATAGCAAGCTAGGGGTGGAAGTAGGGCCCATATCCTCGCTTCCAAATAGTTTTCTTCTTGCACAAAAGCACATGCTAAGTAGACCCATGGCAAGTAGCAACAAATCAATATGTGTATCTTCATATGATTATAAACAAAAATATATGTATATACAGTACACCCTTGCGTTTCAATACCCAAGAATGATTAATGAAATAAACATGTGAACCTATATGTTAAACTGGTGCCCGTTTTGACATCACCATAGCCATTTTTTATAGAGAGTGTGACGCCACCAGGTCCCCAAACATGCGTGATGTTTGTTTTTTTTTTGAATATGTTTGCTTTTTTTCTACATCTTTGATCTATCTGTTTATACATCCGTTATTTCTATTGCTTAGATTTGGTGGTTTCTACAAGCAAGAACTGAAGTACAGCCTTGTCGCATTGCAGGGGATGCAAGCAGTTGTAGTTGCAAAAGTTATATCAAAGGTTAAAGCTTCACAAGATTACTCAGGTTTTGTCCCAGGATTCTCCAATGTGAATCAATATATGAATCACAGGAGCCACAAATGAATAACAAACATGTGAGGTCAGATTTTAATGGCTTTGCCAAGTCTAATAATGATGTGCTAATTTCATCACAAACTATATAAGAGTGACCATGGAAAAGCATGGAGCAAATAACTCTTCTCACGTATACACAGTGCAAACCCATATTTTCCAGCGTTTTGGTGCACATGGAATATGTAATAAGATCATTTGTACCCAATCATAGAACATCATGGCAAAATCAATCTTACATGCACGTGGCAGTGATCACATTCAACCCATCACAAGCACATCCATTCCGGAAACTTAGTCTGATGCAAAAAACCTGTGGCAATCAATTTTGTATGCATTTGTGCTCTTGTCAGTGTAGTCAACCTGAACTTGCCATTGCCATGTACATCTTTCTCTTGCAAGCCAGCCAGGCAAGCAAACTGTGAACCTATCAATAGTGTCACATCCAAGCTGCACACACAAACTGCACCAGCAGAGAGCATACATGTACATTACACAGATCATCATAGTTTGTCAAATTGCATATGTCCCTCATTGGCAATAGCCTGCAGGGCAGTGAGTTGTATTGTGTTATTTTCATGCTGTGCTATGCGAATGTTTTCAGCCAGCATGAAAAGAATATGGAAAGAGAATGCTGAAATCAAAATCTGAGTGAATGCACTGATCAACCAAGTGCAATCAAAACAGAAAATATTTCCAAGGATATGCCTTCATACAGGCATGGCAAGGAACAGCTCTATCAATCATAGCAGTGAAACAGGACGACTGCAAAAACTTGTGCTAACACTTTCTTACCAATGAACAAATGCTGGGTGTTTACGCATTTTCTAAATGATACTATCAGGTTAAGATACTATTAAGGGTGACCCTAGCTAGCTATCTTTTGAATTATCATGCAGTAATCAATATAAGTAATCATTGCACAATGTCATGGGTTGCCATCTTGAGTTTGTTGTATTGATAAGTTGCAGAACTATTGGTGGCTCTATTTGAAATCAAGCTTAAATTGACCAACATGTAGAGTTGGACTGCCCAAAGACCTCAATGAGAGTATATTGACCAAACCAATGATGGAAGGTATATGGCGGTATTTGATAGCTGCTTAATTCCCTGGGATGACAGCAGATGATTGTTCAAGTTTACTTATCCAAATAAATATCGTGTTTTCTAGGCATGAATAATGCAGTATTTTTTTTTAAATAGATGATGGTTATTTTGAAAATATACTAATTACATATATATACTGTATATATATATACATATATATATATATTGCTCTTCATACTGTTTCTTCTCTTGCCATTCTTGAATATCATGTGATGACCCTTGTAGTTGGACAACATGGTCCCAAGACGTAGTGTCATGTTTTTTGTTACTTAGCATGTCCTTGCTATGCATTGAAGAAAAACATGTTATAAACACATGATGGAAAGGCATCATCCAAGATGAGATTGTCGTCAGCATTAGTTTAAGGATAATAAGTCTGCAACATTGTTAGAACTGTATTCGTTTAACCGATGATGGCGATTTCGTTTAGTAAGCAGTGCAGTCTGACCGTTCAGTCAGACTCTCCGGAGCGACGTCCGGCGAGTTGGTCCGGTTAGAATGAAGCGAATTGATTCTGGCCAGTCAATCTGGTCAGATAGTAAACTGATAATCGTAAAGAAAGCTAAGTCTTCAGGTCCCTCGGAAGTAGCCTTCCGGGGTCGGAGGTGGGGGGTCGAAAAAAAACGGGAAACACATGTTATTTTTTGGACCCCCCCCTACAGACCTTCAGAAAGATTAAGCAGTCTACAGAGAGAAACTATCACAATATTTGGTGCCAACTTAGTAGTAAACCTTATAGAAAAATGAGAGCTAGATAGATAAAATTTCAGACAAGTTGAAAAAGAAAGGAGACTTGACATAAGGACAAATATTATAAAATGAATATCGTAGAGATAAATGTAAGGAACATTTAGCATTGTTCTATCATATTATGGTGTGAGATATTGCAAGACCTGCAAAACAACCCACACAAATGTCTCATCTTACATTTTGCTGTATGTCCAGAAACGTGGTTTTATTTGCCCCCCACCCTGTGGCGTGACTTTTCTGTTTTAGCAGGGGATAAATCTCCAAGATACATCTCTGAACTGATTGGTGGATTCGGATCCCGAATACTGTGGGAGATCTCACCAGTAGATATTAATGATCGTCACAGCATTTGAAAAATAGCTAGCACGTTGCGCATGAACGGGGAATCTACATGAACGGGTTGGACATCCCTCCGCCATGGAGTCAAAAATAGGGAGATGCTTCCATGTGAGCTGCTTCAATTCGCAACGCTCAGGAGAGAGCAGCGTCTCCACCAGGTAAGCCGCGCCTTCGGAAGCATAGGAAACCGCCTTGTTTTCTGATCCATTGATCATGACGGGGACAGAAGATGGATCTGTCTCCTGCTGTAGCTGTCAAGATCAGCACGTTTGCGGAGATGTACCAAGTTTTTCCAAGCCACATCCAGCCTATTTCTCTGGTACTCCAAGTGAGTATGGCTGTAAGTGATGTAAGGGCTGAAACACTTTGCGTTGTACGTAGGCTTGAATCCGTTTTTTTGAGGTACTCAGACTCAAACACTAAATATGCTGACAGATTTCTTGAAGCTTCGGATGCCTGACTGGTAGCGGCAATAACTCTGTAGTTATTTCATGTTATTTCACAATCACGAGCACTGTGAAAACATGAATCAAACCAATGAGATTCATATCATTACATATATATATATATATATCGGTACAGTATATATATATAGAATACATGGGTTATCCATCTCCAGGAACACGTTCATTTTTTTTTGAATATCTTGTACGCGAATCATGTTGTACATTTTGAAGACGTGCGGCTTGTTTTTTGCTAATCCTGCTGATTCCTAATCTGGATGATCAGCTAGGTGAAATCTAAACTGGTTGGTGGTTTGGAACATGGCTGTTATTTTCCCCAATAGTTGGGATGATCATTATGTGATTATATGATAATATGACATGTATTGATATTCCATTTCATATATGGGATGTCATCCCAACCCCATTGACGAACTCACACCTTTCAAGATGGTTATTGCACCACCAACCAGTGAAGGTGTGTCACGTCCATTATTTGCCAGCTGAACCCAACATCGCTGAGTTGGTGGACCCACGGTCGGAAACCTTGCAGTGGCCAACGGCCGAATCGACCGAATCGACCGAATCGACCTGGCCACGCACAAAAGAACGCGTGTTGATCTCTTCAGAGCAGATGGTTGTACATGTTTACAGACATTCATGTGGAGTTTGTTCATCACTTTACAATACTTGCGCGTACAGTATAATTACATGTTCACCTGCTACTCTGAGTTCATTTAAGAGCTCAGGTCATGTTGCAGCTGGACTTTTGGCGGTCCCCAGTGTCACTACGGCATGTGGAACGACCGTCAAAGGTGCTAATTCACTTTTGTGCTTGGTAGGATGGGAAGGAGCAAGGTTCACACTTTGAACAACATCCTGATTGCTATGTAAACCTTGCTTTGGAATTAAGCTATTCCGAGCTATGCAAAGCATTCTTTTGATCCTCTACAGAGATGGTAACACACTGTTAAACGGGCGCAAGAAAGCCCATGCTGATTTTTCTTTGATTTGTTTTTCTTTACTTATACAATAGTCCCATCTCTCTAAAGAATGATCCAGGGTTTCCTTGGGGGTGATTTAATATTAGAGGGAAGGAATCCATGATAAAATAAATTTGAAATTGCAAACATGTCGTTTTGTTCCTTCCAGGTATTCGTATTGTTACAGGAACCACTCACAGATTATGTTTTTTTTTTTTACCTGGTGATCATAAGTCCCTTGCGCGTATACCGGCTACCTGGAGATTTCAAGTTCGGAAGCCTTCAGAATGGCTTTGCAACTTGTTATACTTCCATATACCCTCTGGTTATTTAACGTAGCCATGGTATAGATGGCCCATTTATGGATGATGTTCCCACTAAAACCTCCATTTATAAGGGATTTTCCATGGCTATGTTAAATAACCAGAGGGAAGTTCCTGAAAATGAAGATCTACAAGTCATCGACGTCTGTGCCGGGTCAACGTAATCTGGGTGCCTTCAATGCTGTCATGGAAAACACATCGCTGTGATTTGGTAAAGTAATTACCAATCTTACACGTTCACAAATAACCATATATAATCCGATACTTGGTGCGGTCACCAACCAGCAACGAAAATCATGTAAATATGATTAAATATGGTTGGTGTTTCATGGTGTTTCCATGCATGTGGTTATCATAATACGATATGATAAAACCATGATTTTGGTGTCAGTGATATACACATCCAAAAATTGCCTATAAATATGTTTAGTTGGGTTGAAGCCTGATCCGGAATCCGGTGGGGTCCCTAATTTGATGAGATTCATGTGCATTCCATAGTGAAACAATGTGTCTAGGACACTGCGCGAAGATCTTCTCGTTTTAAAGCACCTTTCAAATTCCTTTCAAGATGTCCGTGTTTGCATGGGACGACGATTCCTTCATATTTTCATATAGCATCTGGTTATGACTAACATAGCCATGGAAAGATCCACCATTTTTTTAATAGGTAAACCCAGGTAAACCATCTATTTCTATGGGCCATCTATACCATGGCAAACTGTTAGTCATAACTCTAGAGGGTATCTTCAGGATTTTTTTTAGGCGCTCCCAATGGGATTTCTTGGACCATCTTGAACCTGCCTTGCCATCACATGCCGCTACGAGTGATGCCACGAGTCAATGAGTTGGTGAAAAACTTGGTGAATCGGACCCTTCATGGGGACCGGCTTGGGGTACGGTACCCGGCCTTCATCTTGAGAAAAGAACTTTTCAATGGGGATCCTTAAGACAGACACTTGACCTGAGCAAGAATAGCAAGACCACAAACGAGAAAGTACCTTGGCGCAGACCTTCGAATTGATTCGGCAGGTCATGTTGTTTTTTCATTTTGTACCATCCACTTTTCTGGGCCAAGAGTGATGACCCGAGGTCAAAGAAATCCTGTGGGCATCCTGAAAAAGTTGACCAAAATTACAGCATGACATGAGAATTTCTGGTTTCAATTGAAACAAGATTGGATATCATCGGATATCCCCAAAGTTGATCAGTTGATCATCACGTTCTTCTTGACATTGCCATAAATTAAGAGTAAAAAGCCCTGGTGCTTCGGAAAAAAAGCGGCTGACACGGCCACACCAGGAGATCTTGCAAGGCGTTTCCAACGGGTTGGATCGTCAAGTTCTGGTTGGTGGTGACTGGAACATAGGGAAAACCATGGGAAAACCATGGAAAACCATGGGAAAATTGTGATTTATATGGAACATCACCATTTTTTACTGAGTACAGTAAATCAACTACTGGTTGGTGGTTTGGAACCATGGAATTTTATGACTTTCCATATATTGGGAATAATGATCCCAACTGACGTACTCCATGATTTTTCAGAGGGGTAGGGTTGAAACCACCAAACAGTAATAGATTTAATAGATTTAAGTTCCGATGATGATGATGATGCAAAATCATAGAAATCCAAGGCCCATGACGTGTTCGAAAGAATTACACACTCCTTCATTCGTTGCTAGACTGTGGTGCCTCCAAGTTTTTCGATGACCATGGCATCATTGGTGGCCTTTTGAGATCCGATCAGCCCAGAAGTCGTAGCAGACTCTGGAGCGACTTTGAAATACTTTGAATCTGAGTTGGTCCAAAAGTGGAGTATCCCATTTCATCATATTTCCTCATCGTTCATCATATTTCATCATCGTTCATCATCGTTCATTATATTTCATCATATTTCATCATATGTCGTCCATTTAAAGAATAAATCAATGTGAATCTTCTGTTCATCATTTTCCCTAAAACATTGCCCATGTTTTAATGGCCATATCTCCACCTTCTCGGACACAGCCACAGGAATATCTTTGAACGCCGTAACGTGTGATGCGTCCCCTGGACGAAATTGCTGCAAGGGTGATGTAACACACAGCGCGTGCCCGCATCTGCCAAGAGCTGTGAGGGCAAAAAAAGGTTCACCCGTGACGACTTGGACGGCGACATGTCCAGGATTTTTTTTCAAGATCTCCTCTTGTGAATGTCACTGTTCATTTCATCATTTTCATCCCTCCAAGTCAGCAAGTTCTTTTGGAGGTGTTGATACCTGAGGATACCAGGGTCGAGCGAACATTTGGGTCTGAGGTCTCCCAATGTCTCGCTATACCTTAGCACCGTGGTTTCCATTGGCAAAGTGGCTTCAGACATTGCAGAGGTCGAAAGAACGAAAGACCTCTCAAAACAGAGCACTATGATATAGTACGATGCACTATGGACTATGGAGCTTCCACCTTCAAGATAATCTGAAGAATCTGAAGATATAATATGGTTTTCCACTGTTTTCACATCAGTTCAACTGCTTATTGTGAGTCACTTAAATTCTGCCGTTGTTTTTTCGCCAGAAAACAGCTACCCCTTTTTGCCAAATCCAACCGTCCAAGCGTGGCGTCAGATTTGGCTTCTTCGCTGAGCCCTTCAGCCAGAAGTTTGGTTGGATCTTTGCTTCAGGCCTTGGAAACCGGTGGATTTGCGCGGAACATTCGACCGTGACGTTCTGCCGTGATTATGGCTGGTGGTTTCAAAGGGGAGATCATTGGAAAATACCATAGATATATCCCCTATATACCACATAGCTGGTTGGTGGTTTCAAACATGGCTTTTATTTTCCATTTCATATATGGGATGTCATCCCAACCCCATTGACGAACTCATATTTTTCAAGATGGGCACATTGCACCAGCAACAAGATGGAAAATCGGACTGGGCTTATGGGATGAGATGATCTGGTTGCTGGTGACTGGGCTTCCATGGGAATTCTATGACTTTCCAGAAACAGTTAGGAATTTCATCATCCCAACTGACGAAGTCCATGATTTTTCAGAGGGGTTGGTAGGTATACCACCAATCAGTCAATCATGGGATTCCTATGGAAGTTGCCCTCTGCAGACTTTCGAAGGCAACCATCCATGCTCTGAGGTTCGGGTGATGAAAAATCAATGGCATTTGAATTCAATGTGTTTGTTTCAGTTTCATTCCATTAGATGAGTTTATATGTTTTTCGCAACAACCATGGCTCGCTGATCACCTATGAGGGTGGTGCCATATGTTGGGATACCTGTTTACTTCGTGGAAGGTGTCCCTTGTTTTGGCGGAATCTCAAGCTGCCAGCAGAGTTAGGTTGAAGTGTATAACGGTCCTGAAAAAGTCAGCGGTCCATAATTTCTTTTCCCTGGAGTCCTTAGAATATCTTGGGGGTTAACCAATGAAAAACGGAAGCCCGAAGGATGGTTGAGGATATCCCAAAGCTAGAAACCCCAAAAGAACCAACTGGCTGGTGTTCCGACCATGGATCATGATCCATGGGGGTTCCTCCCGTTTTTCCCTGGTAGTTCAGGACAAATGCAC